GATTCTTTGAGGCAACATGATGTATTGTTTTTGCTAACAATTCAAGCTCATGACGGTACCTCTGACAAATATAAAGACGAAATGCCTTTCAGGTTAATAATTTACATCTTAAATTGTTAGAATCAATAAATTCTGATTTGCGCGGTTCAATTTGTTCTGATGTTAGATTCGTTTTTTCTTTTTCAACCGTAGGCCACATTTTGGTTTGAAATATGTTAGAGGCGTTGAAGTATGCGATATAATCGGTGATGATGGCAAGAATCGTATTTTTAATTTTTCTATACATTGGTATTTTTCATTAGCTAACCTCTTTTCTTTTGGGGGTTCCAGGGAAACCTATTGACGAGATCGGAAAGCCGCGAGTGGACGATCGCAAACCTAAAATTTCCGGAAACACCAGGACTCTCCGTGTATTACTGGACACTAACCAATTTAAAGTAACGTTATTTCGTCGGATATACATATGGATATCATTTATTATCTAGTCAAATTTTAATATTGACTGTCTCATGATTTAGATGGATATGGACAGATATTCTCGTGTAAAAGATGAAGACGTATACGAAACATTTAATGTACTAATGAGAAGAAAGCCAAAGGTAGGTATTGGTGCTGTGGTATAACTTTCAATAAATACTCCTCGCTAAGTTTTTTTTTTTTTTTTTTGTTCTACATTATCAAGGAAAATAATTTTAAGGCTGTGCTGGAAACTATCAGAGATCTAATGCAGAGTGAATTAGTCGTTCCTGATTGGCTGCACAACGTCTTTTTGGGTTACGGTTTTCCTGATAGCGCTCACTATACGATGATGCCAAATTTACCAAAAGAGATCGATTTTCGGGATACTTTCTTGAACTATGACCACCTTGTTAGCAGCTTTCCCGAAAAGGTGTTTAAAATTATTTCATTCAGGATTGATAGATATCGATAAATACTTACGAGCACCATCAAATTTAGAAAATAGTTCCGTCAAAAGGATACGAAGCCCCCATTAGCCCTCCATATATCCTTCAATTTCCGGAATCTTTGAAAGAAGATAAAGGTAAAGTTTCCGAAGAAGCGGAACCCGATGTGCCAAAGCTTGACGAAATTGTAGTACGAACATACACCATGCCAAACATGGGTCCTTACCCGTTTAATATACCAAAGAGAAACTCTGTTGGATTTACGCCTAGACAAGGTAACGTCGTTTGACAGATAAAAACTTACTATTTCGGATTTGATGCATAACGCGAGAATTAAATTTTGTTCTAGTGGAAGCTATCAAGTCCGGGACAAACCCTGGTTTGACTATGGTGGTTGGTCCTCCGGGTACGGGTAAAACAGATGTTGCAGTTCAAATTATTGCCAATCTTTATCACAATTTCCCCGATCAACATACATTGTTGGTTACGCATAGTAACCAGGCACTTAATCAATTATTTGAAAAGATCCTGGCACTTGGTAAGTTGTCTTTCGTTGATTTCGTTTCGATACACCGGAAATCGTTTTAACACTTTCCATTTGTTCTAAACAAAGATGTCGACGAGCGTCATTTGCTTCGTTTAGGACACGGTGAAGAGGAACTTAACACTGAATTGAGCTTTAGTAAATACGGTCGTGTCAATTCATTTTTGGTAATTAAATTCTATTACCTATATGTTATTTTTTTGGTGTAGTATAAAAGGTTATAATGATATTGTGTGCGCTTTCTTTTAGGAAAGGAGACTTTTTTTGTTAGGCGAGGTAGATCGCATAGCCAAATCATTGGAAATTGGCGGGGAGCACGGGTACACTTGTGAAACTGCCGGCTATTTTTACCTGTATCACGTCCTGTCAAGATGGGAGCCTTACATTGACAAGTGTCGACAGGGACTAGAGAATGGCAATGATAAAATCAAGACAATGCGCGATGAATTTCCTTTCACGAATTATTTTTCCGACGCCCCGCAACCCCTCTTCTCAGATGACATTAGTTACGCTGAAACGCTTGAAATTGTCGAGGGATGCTTTCGACACATCGAAAAAATTTTTACAGAGCTAGAAGAAATACGCGGGTTCGAATTGCTGCGAACGAGCTATGATCGTGCAAATTATTTGTTAACTAAAGAAGCCAAAATAATTGCCATGACTTGCACACACGCTGCTCTTAAGGTTTGGGGAAAATAGAGGCAACAATCTGCGCAAGTGTAGTTTGTCGGATCTAACGATTACTTTTTTGATGCGTTATGCTAGAGGCGAGAATTAGTTTCACTGAGATTCAAGTATGATAATGTGGTGATGGAAGAAGCGGCACAAATTTTGGAGGTCGAAACCTTTATTCCATTACTGCTTCAAGAGACCGAAGACGGGAAGAGTCGATTGAAGAGGGTTATTATGATTGGAGACCACAATCAATTGCCACCGGTTGTCAAAAACATGGCATTCCAACAATATGGTAATATGGAACAAAGCTTATTCACCCGATTTGTTAGACTGGGAGTCCCAACCATCGATTTGGACGCTCAGGTGAGTAACGCTTTTTTACTTTGCTGCATGTTTCATTTTTCTAACACTGAACCCACTTGTTTCTAAAACTAGGGTCGTGCAAGGCCATCAATTGCGAATCTATACAACTGGCGGTACAAGGACTTGGGAGATTTACCCGTTGTAAACGAGAATGACGAATATAAGAAAGCAAATGCCGGGTACATTTCATATGATGATAACTTTTGATTCTATCTTTAAATGACGACTGTCTAAAGGGAGATTTTTATTCTCAGATTTACCTACGATTATCAACTCATAAATGTCGGTGATTATATGGACAAGGGAGAAACGGAACCTGTACCCTACTTTTACCAGGCAAGTGTCTTTTTTAGGTATGGCAGTTGCATTTTTAATTTTCATTGATGAATTTACGGCTTTTAATTTTTTGTTTTTTTTTCATGTGCAGAATCTTGGAGAGGCAGAATACATTGTTGCATTGTATCAATACATGCGTTTATTGGGGTATGAACTTGATTGATAACTTTCTGAGAACCTTGCATATTAAAATGAACGTTTGTTAAACTATTGGAACCATAGGTACCCTTCCGAAAAGATTTCAATACTGACGACATACAATGGTCAAAAAGCTTTAATACGGGATGTTTTGCGCCAGCGATGTTCGTGGAATCCCTTATTTGGTCGCCCAGCGAAAGTAACCACTGTTGATAAATTCCAAGGCCAACAAAACGACTGTAGGCAACAGGAGTTGTTCTCGTGCAGAAAACATATTTGTGATGC